GAGTGGGGTCGCCTGGCGTGGCGGCAGGGAAAGGCGGGGGGCAGGCGGCCCAAGAAGGCAGCAGGCAGGCGGCAGAGGCTGAGGCTGCGGCGCCGAGGAGGCGGGCTTGCGGCTGAGGCTGGGGCAGAGGCTGGCGGCTTGTGAAGACCTTAGTGTCGGTCGCGCGCGGCGCGCGGCGCGTGAGGCAAGCAGGCAGTCGGGTGCTGAAGCTCGGCTCGCTGCGGTCGTTCAGGCCTGGGTGAGGGCAACAGAAAAGTTGGCTAGCAGGTGCTGGCTGTGAGTGCGTGTAGGCTAGCGGGCAGAGGCTCTCTTTTGGGCGCCTGCGGGCGGGGGCTGCAGGTTGTCTGAAGCCACTGCGTGTTGCAGAGCGGGCGGCCATGAGTGGTCCGCCGGGTGCAGGCGCAGGCCCGTGGCCGGAAGCGCTAACTGTGCGAGCGAAACATGCATGCGCTCGCTTGCTCTGTGCTGAAAGCGGGCGAGGTTGTCGCGGCTGAGCTCGTCTGCCCAGGTGTTTTTCTCGCCAGGCAGGTGCGTGAGCAGTAGGTGCACGCCGCGGGCGTGCGCCCATTGCGCCGCCAGCTTGAGGAAGTGAGCGATGGGCTCGGCTGTGCTGAAAAGCTTGTTCAGGCCGGCTTCGCTCGGGCTGTTGTCCGTAGCGGAGGGCAGGCAGAATCTTTGGTGCCTATGGCGCAGGCGTGCAAAGGTGCATTGCAGCAGAGCGAGCTGTGCGAGCACCTCGAAGCAGGCAATATATTTTTGCGCATCCTTGAGTAGCCACGGCCAGGTCTGGCGGACCTCGTCCATGGACCAAGTGCAGGCGAACGAGAGGAAGGCAGTGGAGGTGCTAAGCCAGCCGCCGATGCCCACGGTGTCCCCTTGGGCCATGGCATCTGCTGCGCACATGCAGCGCAGGAGCGGTGCGAGCTGTAGCGGCTGTTGCGGCGCGAACTGCATGCAGGACAGGAGCCATTGCAGGGCGGCTTGGCTGTCTTTGCCCAAGTGGCATTCGTTGCGCGCTGGGTCTTGCACGCGGACGTAAGTGGGCTTGTGCGTGGCGGGCGCCTTGGGTATGTCTGCTTTAGTGGCGACATGGCGGGCCCCCACGGCAACGATGCGGGCGCCACGCGCGAGCCAGAGCCCGGGCGGGCACCGAACGATCTTGCAAGAGTCGTCCAGAGCGTGCAAGAATTGTTGCCACAGGCGGGCGGGCACGGACTTGAGCGTGCCTTTGCCGCTGTGCAAGTCGCGGTAGAGCGTGCTGAGCATGGGGCGCAGAAAGGTGCACAGGGAAGTGGCCCACATGAGCAGGCCGAGGCATGACTCGAGCGGTTTGCGGGCGCATTTTGGGTGCTGCAAGAGTGCTTGCATTTGCGTGCGGAGCTTTTCTAGTTTGGCAGATGCCAGCCAGACTTGCTGTGCGTGCAGGTCGAAGGTCCACCCGCACCAGGTGACTGTGTCTCCCAGCTGGGCTTTCTTCCAGCTCATGGGGGCGCTAATGCTGGCAAGCAGGAGGATGATGAGGCATGCGTCCTCGTGCAGGCTCGCGCGAAGGAGCATTGCGAGCAGGTCATCCACGTATATCCAGGCACGGTGCGGGGAGGGAGCGAGCAGTGCATGCAGGATGCGGGTTATGAGCCCCGCGGCGCGTTGCCACCAGTAAGAGCTGAAGCGGGCGCCGAAGTGGCAGACAGTGTAGTAGTAGAGTCTTTGTGCCACGCGAAACAGCAGTGTGCCTTGCTCGCGGGCGTGCACGCGCATGCGTTTGTGCGCAGCTTTAAAGTCCAGGCAGAGGGCAGCCCAGATGCCGTGCGGGTCTTGCGGGGCGAAGGTGAGCTGCACGTCGCTGGCTGCGGGCATGGCCATGCGCTCTGGGAGCGTGCACCTGTTGTTGAGGTTGCATATCGAGCTGTCGAGGACGAGGGGCGAGGTCGTCGTCGGGCAGGTCGGTGTTAGGAAGCCATTGCTTGCTGGCTGGCAGGGGCTCGAAAGCACCCGTGGGCACGCCGGCGAGCATGAGCTGCACAATGTCTGTGTCAGGGTCTGCTGTTGCCGAGGCGAGCAGTTGCAGTAGTTGCAGGCGGAAAGGCTGGCCCGGGTAAACGGCGAGGCAGGCGGCGTCGTTGCAGTTGGGGTGCAGGACTTGGTGGGCAATGCGGGCTGCCTGCATGCATTGGTCCTCGGACAGCGGGTGCTCGGGCTTGCCTTGCATGAGGTGCGCGGCTACTTTGTTGGGCAGGTCTTGGCTGCAGGCCCAAGACAGCCAGGCCTTGCGCAAGGCTTGCAGGGGCGGGGTTTGCCAGCGCGGGGTGGAGTGATCAGCAGTGCTGTGCAGGCCTGCGCCGTCACAAACCCCGGGGCGGGCATGCTGGTGCGGGCGCAGTGCTGGCGCTGCGGTGCGGAGTGGCAGAGTATTGGTGCTCTGCGACAGCAGTGGTGCGATGCAGGCGGCAAGGGATTGGAGAAGTGTGGCGGGGTAGGTGTTAGGCGGGGCTGAGGGCTGTGCGTCGCGTTTGCGTTTAAGCATGTCGACACGGTGCGTGCCTGGCGGATGGGCACATGTAGCGGCAAGGTGCGTGCAGGCCGTGCTGTTGGAGGCGAGCAGCCAGGAGCCGTGACGGTCCAGACCATGCGCGCAGAAAGCAATGGCCGTCACATGAGCGCCAGAGGCTTGCAGTGCATGAATGAGAGCGGGGTCGAGCCACACGGTGCTGGCAGGATGTGCTTGAAGGAAGAAGTTGCCGCCGGCCGCATTGGTTGCATGCAGGAGGGCGAGGCAGTTTCGCAGGCATTGGCACGAAGCTTTGAGGCGCTGGCTGGCGGATGCTGAGAGTGCTGGCAGGCCTTCGGGATGAGAGGCGCTGCGCAGGGCAGATGCTGGCGAGGCGCTGTGGGCGGGCGGCATCCAGGCGCTCGCAGGCAGCGTAAGCCAAAGTGTGCCAATTTCTCCCGCGGAGCACATTTGCAGCAGGCTGGCGAAGGTGCCGGGGTGAAGGATGTCGAAGCCGTGCGTGCGGTCCACTGGCGGTGTGGTAAGGCAGCCTTTGCTGGCCAGAGCCTGGGTGAGCGGGCTGTGCTGGCCACCGAAGAGTTCGCAGAAGGCACGCTGTGGAGGTCGGGCTGCGGGTGCTGCAAGTGGCGGCTCTGAGTTGTTGACGGGCTTGGCAGTGCTGTCGGTGCTGAGCGAGGCAGGCTCTTGAGAGGCAGGCTGCGGAGGCGGGCCCGAGGGCGGCGCAGGCGGAGCGAGGGCTTTAGGGTTAGGGGACTTAGGGGGCTTAGGGGGCGAGGGCTTGCGGGGCTCCTTTGGCGCGGGCGCAGGTCGCGGGCTCTGCGCCGGGATCGCGGGCGGAGCCGCGTGGTGGTGAAGGTAGGCTAGCGCGGGCAAGGCCCGGAAGGCAGTGCAGTCCGGCGCCGGCTCCAGGCCAGGCGCGGGCGTCGGACGGTTTCAGGCAGGGGGCGCGGGCGGCATGGGTGCGGGCGTCTCCTCGGTGTGGAGGCAGGGTGCTTCTTGCCGCAGGCTTGGCCGGAGGGGAGCTTGAAACCACAGATGTGGTGGTACTTGCAGGCAGGGTCGGTGCAGATGCCCTTATTGTAGCGCAGGCAGATGATCTTGTTGCCTTGTTTGGTGGCGAGCGGGGCTGCTGGCGTTGCTGGCACTGTGCGTGTCTCGCGCCCTGCTTGCTTGGTGGGCTGGCGGGGGCCCTTGGGGTCTCGGCGTTTGCCTCCCCCTTTGCCCGGGCGTGCAGGGTCACGCCCCCCTTTGCCGGGCTGCTGCGGAGCTTTGGGCGGGCGCGCTCTAGGCTGGAGCAGGGCGTGCATGTCGCTGCGGACATTGCTGAGTTCGTGCATGGCATCGTCCAGGGTCCAGCCCTGGGAGTGCAGGCTGGCGATTTCGTGCCAGAGCTTGCGGTCCGCGTGCAGGAGCTCGTGCAAGTTGACGGCGCGGAGGCCCGTCTCGGCGGGCAGGTTCTGGGTTGCGTAGTCAAAGATCTTCTTGTCGAAGGTCTTGAGCGTTGCAAGGTGCGCGCCGCCGCAGAGGGCAATTGCATTGCGGAAGACTGCTTGCGTGCGCGCAAGCCAGGCAGGAGTAAGATGCATGCTGGAGATGGGAATCTCCGGTGTTTCGTCAAGCAGGGCCGCGCTGACGAGCTGGGCTTCTGTGCGGAGCATGCGGTGCGTGCGGGCTTCGAGGATTTCCTGGTACTGGCGCTGGCT